ATATTTGATTATATTTTTTTAAAAAAATATAAACAATATTAATAATTGTTTAGTTTCCTTTTTTAGACAGGTCAGATCAGGTCAGGTCAAATGTATATTTAATTCAGGTCAATTTCATGTCTGACCCAACCTGACCCGATCTATTCAGAGCTCTGCTTCTGACTGTTGGGACGGATTTTATTATCAAAAAAATAATAAACCTATTTTTTTAATAATAAATGCCGCCTCTGACTTTTGGGATGGCATTTATAATTAAAAAAATAAAGTTTATTATTAAAAAAATAATAAACTTTATTTTTTTAATTATAAATGCCATCTCCAACTTTCGGGACGGATTTTTTTATTTCAAATCTGACAAATTGGATATGAAACCAAATTTGAATCTGACGGATCGGATCCAAATTCAAATCTGAATCCGTCAGATTGAATCAAATCCAAATTCAAATCTGATCTGAATTTGACAGATCGAATCTAACCCAAATTTGGATCCGAATTTGATTCAAATCTGATAAATCCGATTTAATCTGATCTGTCAGATCCAGATCAGATTCAGATTGAAGCAGATTTTTTGTGAAACACTAAATAAATCCCACATTAATGGAATCGCATAAATTAATATAAATGATTTCTATTGATCTGCTGTGAATCCAGAAAATCCTTTTTTAGTTGATATCTTAAAAGGAACTCTTCCTAAATCAGCTGGAATTTTAATATTTTTTTGCACAGGATTCCATTGTTTCTAGGTGAGATTTAGTTAGTTTTTCACGATCGATCCATAACATTTTAACAATTCAGTGGGCAATTTCTAGAAACAGACAGTGCATCAGATCTACAATCAGATGCCTGATTGGATTATGATAGGATAATAGAAGCATTTCAGACCACTTTACATGAGTAGTCCTAACATGCTCTTTCCTATTCTCTTTAGTTAGTTTATATTTCCAGAGAATTGCACTATGCCGATGCTTTTCCAAGTCTCGCATTCTAAACCAATTGGACATATCTTCAAATCCTCTGAAATTTGCTCTTTCTCCATTTTTACTACCAGCTTACTTATAACATCTATGGCAACCAACTAATGATACCTGATGAAATTACCTTTCTTAATATAACGAAATTGATAAACCGAAATGGCGAAACTAGTTTTTTATTAATGACGAAATTATTTTACTTAATTGCCGAAATTATATTTAACTTGATCTAAATTCCTTGAATTAAAATACATTAAAAAATATAATAATTTTATATTTATTTATATAAAAATATTACAGAGATGAAATTTTTGACGAAATTACAATTTTTCAAAAAGAATTTAGTCAGGTATTACTACAACCAACTAATGCTGATATATGCCCACATAACTTTCTTGCAGCAGGAATATCATTACTGCAGCAAACTACAGCCAATCAGATTCTCTTTCCTATTGGATTCATTTTTGTTACTGGTAAATCAATACCATTCTATAATTCTAGTAATTCATTAATAACTGGCTACAGATAATTGTTAATTCAGTGTAATTTAACTTCTTGAGGTCCTGGTAATAATGCTAAAGTAAGCATATTTTCTTTTTTAAATCTTATGTCACAGGAAAGGTTGCAAATTACACCATAAATTGCTCCACAACTATAGATTGACGATTCAAATGGTTGGAACTATACATGAAATCGAAATGAAAACCCAAAAGTTGAAATGTTTCAACTTTGGAGATCAAAGTCGAAATGATGGTTGAAATTATGTCATATCACATGATTTTTTATATATAGAAAAAACAAAAAAAAACAAAAGATGTACGATCTCAATCAATATTACTCCGATTTGTATGAAACAACTACCATTCGATTCCTTATGACTAGACGAATCCAATAAGCTAACATTTATTGAATTAGGATCATCTTTTTTTAAAGACACAGTAATGCATTTATTTATTAATAAAATTCATAATCAGTTAAAAATAAACATGAAAATCACCAAAAAAGAGGTACAAAAGTAGAAAAAATAAAAAATGCTACCTAATTATCCTTATTAGTGAATTAACTCCAATCAGACCAACCGGTTGTCCCATCAGGCTCTGGTAACAATCACTAGTAGAATTACAATCGCTATCCAACTAAATTGAGAAAAACGTTTGACAAATAGTTATTACTGCGTTAGTAGCAAAGACCATTTTCATTTATATACGTAAGATTTAGTCATTAAAAAAGTATGATCATATTTTAGAATATGATTGGAAGAAAAGAGTTAGAAAAACTATTGATAGTGAAACAATGTGATGAACTATAGTTAAATTTTTTGGATATAGTAGCGTCGCATCTGGTTTTCCAAATAATTTTATAAGTTTGATCAAAAATAAAGTTGTAGAAAGGGGATAAAATTTTAGACGTAAGTGATGAGGAATTTGTGAAGGAGTCGAGTAGTTTAGGAAGAGCTATGGAAATGATGTCTTTGATGAAGTCTATAAATGTAAAATTGTATGAGTCAGTTCTGAGAGACCAATATAGGTGTGAAGAAAGAAGAAGTGAAGAAAGGTCTTGAGGATAAACAAGTTTGGAAGTATAGATAAAAATTTGTTGTTTGAGTAATATTAAAGCTTCAGTGATGATAACTTTCATTTCTGTTTTGATCTTTACACAAGTTCATATATGATTGAAATTTTCATCTTCGGTGAGACAACGGCAGCATTTCCATAAGGAATTATAAAGTTTAGGTTGTGTTGCTTTTAAAAATTTAATTGTTGGGATTTGTTCAAAGAGAAACTTAAGTCTTCTACAGTGCACTCGGGATTCTTTAAATGATGTTTCAGAAGGAGTGCCAAGTTTGATAAATTCAAAGGTTAGAGATCAATTTATATGTAAAAGACTATATTTGAGATTTCTTTTCAAGAAGTAAAAATAGATAAAATGTTTGATATTGGTGAAATCTTTTAAGAAAGGACGTAGCATAGTGAGAATAGGCATATTGTTGAAAGTCGGAATGTAGGAGAGATAAGGTGTTTATGTAAAGTTAATAGGAAGAGTGGAGTGGAGAAGAGAAGATTTAGCGAAGATATCAACCTTATTATTATAAGAATTATCAAAATGTGCAGCTACTTTGTTTAATAATAGGGAGATATTTCTTTTTTCCAAAAGTTTGAAAATGAAGGACCAATATAAATTAAAGAATAGTTTAAATATTAAAGAAGGATAGTTGAAATGTTTTGTTTTTTGATTTTGTTGTATGAATGTATGAGTAATAGATTATCTATACAAACGTTAATCTCAGAATTAGAAGGGCATATTAGTAAAACTAGAAGTAAAGCAAAAATTTCAGCATTAGTGGAGTTAGCCCAATAACAAGGAATAGCAGTAGTAAATTCTATATCAAAAATATCATGGACAAGAAGAAAAGTAGAACTTAAATGGAAACTAGGAAAAGTAAAGTGAGGAATAAATTTATGAGAACCATCGGTATAAAAGGTAAGTAAATGTTCATCTTTTAAAGTAAATTTAAAGTGTGCAGGTTGCTGGTGAAGATATTAATGATTCTATGGAATAAAATGGGAAATTATTACTAATTAAAAGATTATTAGGTATAATGATTGATCTCATGTCAAGATATCTTTGTGTAACTTGATCAGATACAGTTTTGATATTCCTTTTCAATATGTACAGTCTTTCTGAATTAACTGAGGTAAAATAGTTAGTTTAAATAAGTTAAGAAAGGTCAATATCAATTAAATTTCTGCAGAAGAGCCATTGAGTAGTAATAGAAAGTCTGGCACATTATGATTCCTTGTAGAAGGTATAACCAGTACAGGCTACAAAAGTATTTTGTATTTTGGATGGAGACTGTGGATCAGCTGTTAAGTTGATCGGGACGAAGTGTTGAAATAAAATTTTGTCAAGGAAAAGTGAAGATTTGTAAGATTTTCCAATAATAGTTTGTCCCAGATAAGGTAGATTGTAGAAGTTTGTATTAGGTGGGATCCAAAGAGCAACCCAGTCTGATACCTTAGAAGAATCCATGGGAGAGGAAGTTTTAAAACCAACAGGAACAAATGGACTAAAAATATATTGGTCTTTGATTCTGTTTGATTACACAGGATTTATAATGATAGTCTTTTCTAAATGAGAGAACCAGTCTGGATAACTACCTTTGACAGTGTGATGATCATTATTAACATGAGTGCTGACGTCTCTAAAATTTATAAGAAAATTGCCCTCACAAATGAGCTGATCAAGAAATAATATTGACTTGTATCGTAACGAATTTATCCACTTTTTTTTTAAGAAATGATGTTTTGAAGTGAGGTTTTACCCCCTTTGATTCAGAATTTGGAATTATTTGTTGTCGTGATTGAAAATGATAAATTCGATTGTAAATAAAAGGAAATTATATTGCCAAGAAAGTTGTCATGACGAAACTTGTTCAGCGAAGTAGACCAACAAATCAAAGGGTTGTCGTAAAGCCAGAAAAATTCTTGAAGTTGTTTAAGTCTGATTTCAGTTGTCTAAGTGAGGAGCGATAGAGATGGGTCACCATTAATCATATTAGTGAAATGTTGTAGTTTTAAATGTATCATATTTGCTGCAAAATCATTGAAACTTTTCACCAGTTTTCTTGTTAACATACTGTTAGGTGTTGACTTTGGAAATTTGAGTTTGTGTTTTAGGAAAATCCTAACTTTGGTAAACAGAGCATTGCATTCTTTAGGTGATAAGACAACTAATTGTGAACGATACTCAATCCTAGGAATTAAAACTATGTTAAATATATATTTTAGTTGTTTGTCTGTTAGTAATTTATATTTTAGTTTTAAAATAAACTCTGTAATTTCACTTTGAATTTGTTATTTGATAAAAGTTTTGTTATATTTTGCAGAACTCCATACACATAAATATCTAGTTGACTCTGAAAGTTTTTTGTTGGGAAGGAAATAGGTCAGTTTAAAAATTCACTATATATTGAGATGTTCACATCAGTTGCCTTTGTTGTTAAGATAAAGGATTTATCATGATTAACTTTCATCGAGTTGAGGTTGAAGAATGATTGGACGATATTAAATATAGCAGTCAAATTCAATAAATTATCAGTAACCCAAGTTGTGTCGTCTATATATGCTGAATTAGGAATATAAGCAGAAATTTCTGAAGTTTCTGATTTAGTGATATCCGGTTTCCATAATACTGACATTTTATATCCTAAAAAAGAGTTTTGAATTTTTGATAGGAGGGGATCGTAGTAAATTACCTAGAGAAGAGGAGAAATAACCTCTCTTTGATCAATTCCAATAATGATATCATATGGATCAGTGATACCGTATGCTATGAAAACGGAGTTCTTTCTGTTTAAAAAAAGATTAGTGATGACATTAGTGAATGGTAAGGGGATTTTTAATTGTTTCATTGCTTTTTGTAACATGAAAATATTAACTCTATCGTAGGCTTTTGACATATCTTGAAAAAGTATATATAAATTTGAACGACTGGACTTGTTCATTTTATTATTTAAGTGATGAAATTCAAGAATGTTATTGATAATATGTAATGGTTCCATCATTGATTGATGTGGTAAACCTGCAAAATTAAGGCTTTAAGTATGTTATGTTTAATGAATACGTACTGTAGTCTTTGATTTAAAATTAATAAATGCTTTTCTAATAGTGTTCAAGAGCGTGATAAGATGTGTATTGTCTAAATTGCAATTCCAAGCTTTAGGTTTTGGAATTGGATACACATATGCTAAATTCCAATGTGTAGGTGTCTGTGAACTAACAAAACAGGCACAGTGTCAACGTTTGAAATCAATTCTACTGCACTGATCATCAATGACTTATAGAATGATGACGTAATAAGTACTGTATCAAATGATCTACAGAATTCCTGATTTCTCTGATTCATCTGATCATCCTGATTCGCAAAATTAGCCTGATTCCCCTTATTTCCATTATTTCAATTATATTCATTATATTTATTATTTTTATTATTATATGTTATATTTCTTATATTTCTTATATATATGGGAGGCGGTCAGTAGAAAAGGGGGAAATCCAAATTTTGGTCAAAATTTTTTTAATTAGTTCACTTCACTG